CAGCTGATGCAAAGAATAGAATTTATATCTACACAGAAGAAAGCCCTGTCTAGACTCTGCCCCAGTATGAGTTGTGTCGAGCTATTCATTAGCCTGTTTGTTTGATGAAAAAAGATTAAATGTAGTTGCAATAAATGCTTAAGAATCCATACAACTGCAGCAGTGGAGGACTATTATTCTGCTGCGTGATACTGCGGAAGAAATGATGAAGGCACGGTTTGATCTTCGGCTGACCAATCAGCAGAAAGGGGCGTTTAATTCCCGCCCACGTGTAGAAATCGAATATTCAAGCGGTTCATTCATTTTTCCACCCATGAAGGAAAAACGAAAATTTAAGCCGAATTCTCGTTTTTCGTTTTTTGAAAAGAAAAAAAAAAAAAAACGAAAAAGGAGCCGTTTTCTAATTTTTCTACTTTCAATATTAAATCAAAAAACGAATGATCGAATGATACACGGATTATTATGTCATATCTTTACTATTATTTATTGACTGAATACATTTCATAGCATATGCCAGCACTGAAAGTTAAAAAATGTTCCTTATCTTCCTCTTATCTAACTGTTACAGGAGTACCTGTATTTCAGTAGCAATATAACACAGTATCCTCCTAATACATTATTATTTTATTGCATTGGATAATAAAATAAAAGATCAATGCTAATTTTTTTTTTTTTTCTCAGAACTAGCATTATTTTCTGAGCCATTTTTTTTGCGTTAACTTTTACTGGATTTACAGATCATTTTTATGTAGGAAGTCAGTTTCCCTCAAGCACACACAGGTGTGGTTCAGCAAATGAACATGTTACACTAATATTTGAGAACCACAAAGAATCAGTTTTGAACAAATGTTTTGTTTTTAAATGCTCAATTGAAAAGCATGCTGTCTTTCTCTATAACAGATGAACTGTTTTGTCATAATGACATTCATACATTTTAAGTGGGACTTAATGACTTGAGTGTCTTACCCCCGTTTCATAGACAAGGCTTAAGCCAAGTCCCAGGCTAAAATACATGTCTGGGCTGTTTTAACTGAAAGCAACTTGCACTGACTGATCTTAAAATAAGTCAGTTTCATTGTTATGTATCAAGATGCACACCAGTAGTGTGTTTATCTAAGGCATGTTTATAAAAGCTACTTAAATGTCCTAATTAAACTATGGCCTAATCCTGGTTTAACCTAAGCCCTGTCTGTGAAACCGATCCTAAATATTTTTGCAGCCACTGCATATTGTGTTTCACATGAACTGGCACTGTTTGAGATAGACTGGACTCGAGGAAATGAACAGGAAGAGTCAGTGACTCAGCTTTAGACCTTACATGACCTCCAGGCAGACCTTACGTCAAGGTCCCATACCAAGTATCAACATACTGTTAGTAAAGGATTTATCATTACATCATTTTTTTCTTGGAAACAAAACCATCCAAATGCCAAGACTGTTCAATTAGATAGCAACCACAAGACACCAAGAGAAAGCCGCGAATGGTGAGTATAAGCCCCAAATCCCTCAGATAGTATAACGTGCCAAGTTGATTATGCAGGCCATATCATTGTGGTTACCGGTGTAACCCAGTCAGGGAAAACCCTGGGCAGAAACAGACAAGGGGCCCTTAAGCCATATCAGCCTCCCATCATAGACTGTGTAACAGTCCTGTGTGTAGCAAATACCATCCAAACTTCTGCAGGGGTGCCATCAAGAGGTCTGACGCAGTATTAACCCTGCCTAACCAGTCCACCACAAACACATTCAGCTTAGTGCTTGTACAGGAATTACAGCATCTCCAAAACCTAAAAGGCTGTTCTACTGATCAAAAGGGCTGCGTAACAAAGTTTTACTTTCTAGAGTGCAACAGTGCTCACCCACTTTTTCAGCAGACTTAGTTTCAGAAGTATTTTTCCCATTCATTTTTCCCCCATAGGGGTTTTAAATAAGGCTTTGTTATAGTTACATAAGTTACATTGCTTAAAGTTACAAGCCAGGAAACAAGCCGTGAATTACAACATAACAACAATTATAACATAAACTTAGTTTTGAAGCAAAAAAAAAGTTTTAAAATTGGACAAAAAGACAAAAGTATGGGACTGTAGTACATAGCTTTGATGAAGAAAAAATACAATCCCTTGAAGCATTGTGAATGACATAATCAAATCAAAAACTACGAAGAAACAAAAATTGATTCAAAGATAAAGAATATGTTTTACATTCATTGCAAAATATGCATATTATGCATACAAAGATTTGCTTGTCATGATTCTCTGATTGGTAGAAATTTCTCTGAAGAATCATGGGTAATGTTGTTTTTCACCAGAAATTCTGCTGTTGATCATGATTATTTAAATATATGTTGAAATAATTTGGGCTAAAGGCTTTAACAAAAGCATGTACTACTGATTACCAACCTTGTAGGTCTTAGAATGTCTGTCTTTAAATGTTTTTAAGTTATCCATCACAGTAAATTCCCCTATGAAGAAAACACATGGAATTTTTACTTCTGGAACCCCACTCTATAAATAACATCTTAGTATAGATCTAGTAGTTATGGTATTGACCAACAGGGGCTAACTCAACCATGCTAACTAGCCAAACCTTGACCTTCTGCATTAGACAAACCTGCCTTAAAATCATACCACTGGTTGAGCCAATGACATTGTCATGCTGATCGAGATCCTCAGGCAAAACAAACAATGTTATGACAAAGACATTGTGAATGAGGGATGGACAAAAAAATGTGGCTGTTTAGATAAGATGATAAGATGACAGAAAGCAGCTACAATTACATGCTACATATATATGCTCCTATTTCTGTCTAATTATTTATATAAATTCATGACAAGACATGGCCCATAGTAAAATCTCTCAGATGTGTCAGTTAAAACAAATAGAGAGCATATTTAAATGACCGTTCCTATTCAAACCTGAGATATGTTTGAAACTATCTAAATTTCCACACCAACAAAAGGAAAAGTCTTTAAAGTTCCAGCATTCCTTATCCAGTATAGGTTCTGGAAATGAAGGAGCATCCAGGGTTTTTAAAAGAACAAGTTGTTTCCTTATGAACTCCATATATTTTCCATCTGAGGTATCTAGATTTGATTCCTCAACCTTCTTGTGATGGAGACCATCAGCATATCCGTATTTTGTTTCAGCATCTTTCCTCACATCAGAGCCACATCAGTTCCTGATTTCAGATGTATCATCGAAAAACCTTTCATGTGATCCTTCACACAGCATCTTGTTTCAGATCAGCCTTTGTCTCAGTTGGTCTTGGATAGAGCCAGTGCTCATCAGTGTTCACAGTCCCATTTCCATGTTGAAATGTGCGTCATTTAGACAGAGGCGGACAAAGTACTCAACTCTATTACTTGAGTGAAAGTACAGATACTGCTGGTCAAATATTACTCCATTACAAGTAAAAGTTGTAAAGACAGGTTTTTACTTAAGTAAAAGTACAGAAGTACTTGCTTTTAAAAGTACTTAAGTACCAAAAGTAAATTTCCTAATGTACTTAGTTACTGTCCGCCTCTGCATTTAGACTACTACTCATGGCTGCTACTGTGACACCTCTGAGGGCTCTTAAAGTAATTTAGCTAATTCTTTTCATTAGAGAAACAGGTACTACCTATGTAACAGAAGGGGGCCATACTCAAAGTCATTTCGCTTTGTCCAACTGAATTGCACGGTGATCTCATGCTACCAGGCTTTTCTTATCTGATGAAACCATTAAAGCCCTGCTTTCAGACATCGACACCAGAATTTTATCCCGCTAAGAGACAGATATATCCAAGTAAAGTGAACGAGAAGGGGAATTCTTCTACTGCAACGTTAAACTATTTAAGGAAAGATTTTTTATTTAAAGGCCTTAATGTCATCAGTTGAAAGGGATTAGTATTGTCTTGCCACAGATGCCGAGGTGTGTTTACATCTACCGACACTAGCGCTGTAGGCTGCTCCTCTTAAAGGCCATATCAATTTCACCTGCCTACTGATAGTGCCTTAGCAACATTTCATCTCAAAGAGATCAGCAACATTTGAATAAAGCTGGTTTCCAATGAAAGTGGCGTCTTTTAATATAACAGAACATGTAAGTTTGCTCCTTTCAGAAACTTTGCTACAAGTATTTCTGATTATTCTGTACTTCTTTTTTTTTTACAGGAAACAATGAGGGAAAAGATCTTCACCCCCTTGACTGTTGAGAGTGCAGTTGATGCCAGGTAGAAAAACTGCAATGCATTTCTATATGCTAGCCTAGACATTCCTACTTGCCATAAATAAAATATTGCTATATTTATTTATTTACTTATTATTTATTTATTAGTTGTATATTATCTAAAGCTTCAGCCAAGAAAAAACAGTCCTTACATATTAAACAATCGGCTTTATAATGATTTTACAACTTCTGCCAGTCATGGAATAAGCCACGCCCCTCTTTCCATAACCCGCCTTGGCGTATCTGTGGTGCAGTGTTGCCAAGTCCACGGTTTTCCCGCGGAATTGGCCTACTTTAACACTGTTGCCGCAGGTTGTTTTTCATGACCGCAGGTTGAAGCGACCCCAATAATGTTATATTTAGCCCCTGGAATGTGAATTTTACCAGGGGAACCCTGCCAAAAAAAAAACGTGTATTTTACCCCCCGAACGCCTAGACCCCCAAATGATTGACAGGCAGAAATCCCTCCATAAGCCTTCTGATTGGCTACATGAGACTATAGGGCCATCACAGATAGCGTCTCGTGATATGACATGATCCTATTTGATGAAAAATATAACTGACAGTTATGTTTTTCAGGAAATAGTATCGTTTTCTGCATAAAATCACTTAAAGCAACTTTAAGTGAAGTTGTGTGTCAAGGCACACTTACTAAAATGAAATAAAAATAAAAAAAGAATGCAATTTAGAGAAAAAAAAGGGTTTAATATATAATAAAGGGAATTAATGAATTAAAGGCTATGAAGAAATAAGAAATATGGAATTGAAAACCTGAGAGAGAGTACTGAACAGATGTATTAGTTTTAGCATCAGTGTCATTCAGGCAGACATTCAGAGAGCTTCATGCTTAGAGATGAAATGGAAAAACTGCATTTAGGGTTCTTCAGATTGTATTGTCTAACTACTGAGCACTGAGGTAATCAAATGATGGTAATTTTCCCTCTCAAACAACAGAGATGCTGTTGCCAAGATCCTGTATTCCCTTCTGTTCAGCTGGCTAACAGACAGAATAAATAGGCAGGTTTATCCTCGGAATGAAGCACTTTCTATCTCCATACTTGATATCTATGGATTTGAGGTATGCCGCTGTAACTTGTTTGCTCACCCCAGTAAAAGGGTTTGCTGATACTCTATGTTGCTGTAAAATGTGGATTTCGTTCGACTGAATTTCACTTTTTTGTGCTTTGTAGGACCTTACCTTCAACAGTTTTGAACAGCTTTGCATAAATTATGCAAATGAGTACCTTCAGTTCTTTTTCAACAGGGTCATTTTCAAAGAAGAACAAGTAAGCTGTCTTTATGCACTCTAATCCTCTGAGAACTGTAGATGAGTAAATTGCCTGTGAAAAATGATTTTCTTTTGAATATCCAAGGATGAATATAACAGAGAGCAAATCAGCTGGGAAGAGGTGCCTTTCTCTGACAACCAGGCCTGTATTGACCTCATTGCAGCAAAGCCACATGGGATACTCCGAATTCTTGATGACCAGAGCGGGTTTCCACAGGTGTCGTTTCTTCTTAATGTTCAGTGTTTATTTATTCATCACTACTAGTTTGCATCATTTGCATTTTAATTATCCTTCTTTTGAATGAATTTCCTCTAGGCTACAGACCATACCTTCCTTCAGAAATGCCACTATCATCATGGCAACAATCCACTGTATTCCAAGCCAAAAATGCCTCTCCCTGAATTTACTATCAAGCATTATGCTGGGAAGGTCACTTATCAGGTGCATTTAAACTACTTGCCTTGAGCCATAGAGTATTTGAATTATTCCCTAATAAAGTATTAGTGGAGGAATGGACCAAACTTTCTGTGATGCTTCACAGGTTCATAAATGTCTGGATAAGAATTACGATCAAGTTCGCCAGGATGTTCTTGACCTTTTTATTCAGAGCAAAAACAAGGTGAGAGAAATGATTTAGCTACCATTAGCTAGGAATTAAATGACCATAATAAACCTTATGAATCTTATCTCACTGTGGTTTTAGATGGTTGCATATCTCTTTATGAGTTATGCTGAGGCCCTCAACCAACAGAAATCCCATGTTGGGAAGAACAGCACAGTAACGCGGCGCCATCAGGCCTCAACGGTGGCGGCCAAGTTCCAGCTATCCCTCATGGAGCTCATTGAAAAGATGGAGAGGTAGACCACCTAAACTGTGCATTACACTGTCTACATGAATCTCTTCTTGTTGTCTTTGATTGGCTCCAGACCCATGTAAGTTATTCATCACCAAGTACTTCCTTCTACTTTTGTACTGACAGAGCCAACCCATATTTTGTGAGGTGCATAAAGCCAAACCAAAACAAGGTAAGGAACAGCAGTCACAGAGGTATTAAGCTATTTGCATCTTGGCTGGAATTGTAATCGACTGAGAGAATGTGTGTAACCCTGCAGGAGCCTGGTGTGTTTGACATGGAGCTGGTCAGTGCCCAACTTAACTATTCAGGGATTTTGGAAACAATTCGAATCAGGAGGGAGGGCTATCCGATCAGAATGCCATTTGATGTCTTCCTTTTCAGGTAAGAGCTAGAGTTGTCAAAATAAAATGAGGCAGTTTGACTCAAACTGAATTAATTATTAAATTATCTGGTTGTGTTTAGATACAAGTCCCTGCTAGGCCTCAAACAGCCTCCTCCTGCCAATGGTGAAAACTGTGTCATCATGTTGAGGAAGCTTTGTCCTGTTAGACCAGGAGCATTTCAAGTTGGTGTCACCAAGGTGAGCATGATTCTGATAAGCACACTTGTTACTATTCACCTAGTCTCAGCTGCATCTGAAATCGCATACTTCCCTAGTGCTATATAGTAGGCTTAAAACTGTATTTGAAAAGAGTAGTGTGTCCGATTTCACAGTGTTCATAAAACACTGGGCGAAAAGTACCTGGATGACTTACTATTTCTGGTGAGATTCCGAAGTGCATATCTGATGGACACTTTAACATCCCATGAGGCCATGGTAGATGAGTTATATGAAAGTCAATGAAGCAACATAACTGACACTGGTAGGTCACATGACAATGACAACATGACAGATGTAGTGCGTCTGGATGTCATTCACATATTCAGAACATATTTTTTAACAGTTGTAAAGTACGTACTAATTCAGAATAAGTACCTAGTCAGAAGGGATGCAATTTTGGACAGACCACCCGCAGGTAGTTCTTGGCAAGGTATTTTACAATGTGCACCAGACTGTGAAAGGTCTGGTTATATGAGGCTACTCTACATGTCTTTGTTTTTTTGCACATTGCAAATTTTGTTTGTTAGTTGTTCGTGAAAGAGGACATATACTTCCTGTTGGAGAGCAAGAGGGACAGAGTAAGGCATGTAGCTGCCCTGACTCTGCAGCGTTATGTCAGGATGTTCTTTGTGAGAAAACGTTATATGGCCTTCCGCATGAAGATCATACGCCTGCAGGCCCACTGCCGAGGCTTTCTCACAAGGTACAATCTATATCATTTATCACTCAAAATGCTTAGGGCTGCCCCTTTTGTAAAAATATTAATTTTACATGCTTTGCACAGGAAACGGTATGTGAAAATGAGAGCTAGTCTGGTGAAATTCCGCTCTCTGATCCATATGTACGTTGATCGCAAGAGATACATCAAGGTAAGAACAATGCAGTTTTAGTGCGTATACGCACTAAATGAATCTCACTATAGTGATCAGGCTGAGCAACAATCCCGCATTTATTAATTTGACTTCTTTCTCTTTTGTTTTAGCTGAGATATGAGGCCAGGAGAAAGGCAGAAGAGGAGCAAAGGAGAATAGAAATGGTTATGATGACAATCACTGTCTAAATCGACCACATTTTAGTGTATTTCTTATGCCTACAGTATATAGGGGAAAATAGTCTAAAATAATTTTAATTGAAAAACTTATACTAATCAAAATCTGTTCTGAATATTACACTATATATTTTATTTGCAGGAGCTGTCTAAACGGGAAGTGGTCAACGTCACTCATCTGGTCATTCCAGCTGAACTCGGAGCATTGCTGCAAGCAGCTGCCGGTACTGCATTTTCTCATGCTAAGATACATTAATATAATATATATTTAAAGAAATGATATTAAATTTTCTGTTTATCAAAGAATCCTAAAAATGTATCAAGGTTTCCACATAAAACATTAAACAGCACAAACTGTTTTCAACATTGATAATAATAAGAAATGTTTCTTTAGCATCAAATCAGCATGTTAGAATGATTTCCTAAAGAGCATGTGACTGTAAAGAATGGAGTAATGATGCTGAAAATTCAGCTTTGCCATCACATGATTAAATTGCATTTTAAAATGTATAAAAATAGAAACAGTTATTTTAAACTATAATAATATTTCACAATTTTGCTGTTTTTACTGTATTTTTTTTTAAATCAAATAAACAGCTTTGTTGAGCATAAAAAATCCTACGACCCCAAACTTACAGTACTGAACAGTAGTGTGCAGTGTTGGGAAGGTTACTTTGGAAATCTAATAGGTTACAGATTACAAGGTACCCTATTTAAAGTAAAATGTAATTTTAAATGTTAGAAGTAGTGTAACTATTTCAATTACTTTATTAAAGTCATGTAACTGATTACATTTGATTACTTTTTGATTACTTTTCTAAATTTCTAATGAATATTTTCAACTGTTATTCATTTTCAAACATTTAAAGCAGTCAGAGTTAACGTTACAGTAACACTGAGTACACTCTTAAAAATAAAGGTGCTTCAAAAGGTTCTTCGAACGATGCCATAGAAGAACCTTTTTGTCTGAATGGTTCCATAAAGAACCTTTAACATCTGAAGAACCTTTCTGTTTCACAAAAGGTTCTTTGTGGCGAAAGAAGGTTCTTCAGATTACAAAAAGGTAAGAAAGAGATGGTTCTTTAAAGAACCATCTCTTTCTTACCTTTTTGTAATCTGAAGAACCTTCTTTCGCCACAAAGAACCTTTTGTGAAACAGAAAGGTTCTTCAGATGTTAAAGGTTCTTTATGGAACCATTCAGACAAAAAGGTTCTTCTATGGCATCGTGAAGCACCTTTATTTTTAAGAGTGTACTGTCAGACTTTCAAAATCCTTCATCACTAATTTTATAGCACAGCCACAACAAAATCAGACTTTAGCACCTCTTTTTATTTTGAGATCCTTCTGAGGTTAAAATCATAACAAGATATAGTTTAATAGCTATGATACTGTTTTTGAAATTAAATCTTTGTACAACTATGACAGGAAACGCTGACATCTAACAATGCCTTGGAAAAAAAAAACTATAGCATATACATACACCTAAACAGAAAATAAAACAGTTATTGAATAAGCATGTGTCCTAAACTCCTGCAACATTGGTGTCTCATATATTTTAGAGCAGTCAATGCAATTTGGCATAGAAATCAATTAAATCTGTTTGTGTGTGTCTGTGCGAAAATATTCAGATGTAACCCATTTGTTTTGTCAGTAACTGTAATAGATTACAGTTACATTTATTTTGTAATTAAATGATGTAACTCTGTTACATGTCAGTAGTTTTCCCAACACTGATAGTGTATATATATATATATAGCATGCACTGCCTGTCTCACTTCTCACCTCTGTGTTTTTTAGGTGGCAGAGAGCTCCATTCTGATTGCTTGGCTTTAGTTCAGGCTCCCACAGTTCAGGTGGAGTCACAGCTCACGCTACCTCTTGATATCAACAACTACACCATCTCCAAATTTGTCCAGATTCACTTCAAAGTAAGACATGCCTAAGTAATATATTCCAAAATCACAAACAAGCTACAATAAGCAGACAGTTAACAAATAAGCAGATATTTTTTCTGGACTAACTAACTGGATTAACTTATAAACTGTATGTTTTTATATTTGTATTAATAAATAGGAGGCAAAGTTTGGAATGTTAACTGCACCTTTGAAGACACCACTAACCCACATTGATGACGATCTTACACATGACGCTCTAGATGTCTTTGTCATGGTACACTGCATTATATTTTGTCGAAGATTTTGCCATTGTCATCTATAATACATGCAATAAAGCTCGAATGTTAGTTCTGGAAGTGAAAATACCATTCATTTTTTCTATAGAGAAACAGATTTTTAACAATAACTTATAAACCTTTCAACACACAGACCTACTATAAGCATGAGATTGTTATGTGCCTCTGCTGTAGCCACAAGTAAGAGTGATTTCAACTTTATTAGCATTGTTATTTCTTTCACTTTGTAGATCTTGAGGTTTATGGGTGACCCACATCTAAATGGTGCTCAGGAGAATTTATTTGGAAACTACATCATCCAGAAGGGGCTTACCATCCCTGGCTTGCGGGATGAAATCTTATGTCAAACTGCCAATCAGGTTTGGAGAAACACCAATCCAGATAACTCGGAGAGAGGCTGGCTGTTGCTGCTAGCCTGCCTGAGTGCCTTTGCACCATCAGCCAAAATGGAGAAATACCTTCTGAAGTAAGCAACACACCAATATTTACATTGAACATGTCACAAACTACATTTAAGCCTTCATTGCGTTTTGGCTTTGTATGTTTTAGGTTTGTCTCAGATCATGCCTATAATGGATTCAAAGCTGTTGGCCAACACAAGCTCATTCAAGCCATGCAAAAGTCCCTGTATGGACCGGAGACAGCGAGGACTTACCCATTGTCCCTTCTGGAATGGACAGCCAATAGGAAGAAAGCAAACATGGTTTTGCAAGTGCACTGTTTTGATGGTGTGTGTCAGTTTCACTTGCATTGTTTGAAGTGAACTTGAATCAGTGTTGGCCAGTTAAAACCCTTATCAGTCAAGGTCTAATTCAGTTGCATTTAACTTTAAACCTTAACCAAACTTTAAGTCTTGTTGCACTATTACTCTAAAAAATTTTTTTTTAATTAATTTAAGTTTAAGTTAAAACCTTGATTAACAAATCCTTGATTGCCTCTAATTTCTGCCTAATTTAGTCTTTATTGGTGCAACCTACGCTAAATTTTACTTTTCAAATACACATTTCAGTATTAACCCCTGCTGAAAACAACAAATGAAACCAGCCTGTGGTGGTTGGCTGGTTTTAGCTGGTGTTACAGCCTAGGTCATAGCTGATTTACAGTAGCAGGCTGGTTTTAGACCACTTCTTTCGATGGTCAGGCTGAAAGACCAGCTGAAACCATAATATTCTGAGATACCCTTGTTTGAAATGAAAGTGATATGCACACTTATATAAGACAAACTCAATAAATAGCTTACGAAACAGTTATATAAAGCCCTGAAATGCTCTTCCATCATTGTAATCCCCTAAATCAGCCAGGCAGGTTCCTTTGTTTCCTAAAACCCTCTAGAGACAATTGTGTAAAGCGCATCTACAGTATTTCAGGTGATACCTGATCTGTAGTGATGTGCAGAATAGAGCAGTCATTTGTGTGTAGTCTTCACTCAAACACGCCTGTCAAACCACAGCTCTTAAGCGTCATGTTGTATTGACAGGGACATCTTTCCTTTGCCCTGTGCACTCCTGGACGAGTGGGGAGGAGCTGGCTGGAGATATTCTACAGCATAGGTACACAAACTATCCTTATTATGTTCCATCTGTTGTTCCACTTTGCTCGGTTTCAGTCAGTGTAGGTATTGTAATGTTACCATCTATTCATCACAAGGAGCTTTTTAATATGCTGTATGCCATGTCATTAGTACATGGCTCTTTCTTTCGGGCATGTTGGGATATGTACAGTCTATAATGAGGCCTTCATTATCTCTGCCATCTGTAATTTGCCTGAAATGAATAGTCTCATTAATTGGATCCGCAGGGGTGTGACGGAGGCCTGGAAGGGGTGTTCTGTTATCATGAAGGAGCACGGACAGTGGGCGGAGCTCGCAGGGCATGATTATGTAATGGACTTGATCGCAGACATGGAACTGATGAGAAATTTTCCCAAGCAAAAGTCCTACTTCATCATCTCCGCTGAGAGTCCCACCAGAACTAGGCCCAATGCCAGCCTGTCAGTATCTATGATATGCTTGCATGCTTATTGTACTTCTGTTTACTTTAGAAATGGATTATGTATGCTAATATGAGACATGATCATAAATATGAATTATATTTTAATAGATCTGTTTTGCATGTAATTTAAAAGTGCGTTAAATGTGAGTGTGTAATTTCTGTGGCATTAGTGGCTAACGACTAACAGTGCTTGAAAATGTTGTTTAGTGCCACTAGTTGCACAGAAATGACAAACTTCACCTTTAAGGCACGAAAAGTCAATAATTATATTATGAATATTTTAAATAATTTCTGTTAATGCTTTGCTAGCTGATTTGTCAGTCGTCTTGGACTTTATAATGACATCTAGTGGATGGCACTTCCTGCGAAAGCAAAGGTTTTTAGTTACAGATGCCACAGTAGAAATTCAAAGCAATGAGTGATTAATTCCCCTATTAAAATTGTCCAATAACAGGGAGAATTTTGGGATACAGTGAATATTCATAGCTCAGCATCTTGTGGTCCTAATATACTGTCTGTGTGCGATCTTTAAAACAACCTGCTCCATGTAGAATTAAAAAGCTTTGTACTGTATATTCCATTGATCTCATGTACATAATTTTGAATATTAAATATTTTAAAAATCTTTCTTTTTCATTAACTTTTTTTATGAGCAAAAATCACTTTTTTTAAGTATAGTTATAGGCTAAGAATATGTAGTAAGTATAGTTATTTTCAGGGGAAATATTTTTGCAGTGTTATTGTATTGTTTTCTAATATTTTGCCCTCAATATGAACTTTCACAGGGCTCTGTTTGGAAGCGGGTTTGATTCTGATGATGACAGCTCACTTCTGCTCCCCCAGACAATGCCAAGCTCCAGTCTGCCAGATTCAGATGGATATTACAGCCACGGTCAGCTGTTTTTTTTTTTTGGGGGGGGCTACTTTTTAAGCTGCTTTTACATATTCTGTTCTGATTTCTTTTTTTCCTCCAATAACTGTAAAAAATATATAGAATCAGACTTCAGTGAAGCACCAACTCAGAAAGGCATGGACAGATATCTCGACAGCCTGTTTGACCCAGTTCTGTCTGATGGTAATGGGGTAAGTGTCTCTTGGTCATTTATGCGTAATTCAGATAAGTGTAAATATAATAAAAACAATATTATTTAGAAGATAAATGCAGCTATTTATGGAAAGAAGCTTAAAATTATAACATGAATGCATGAAGAAAACAATTGGCCACTTGATCGTCATAGTGTAAGTGATTGAGTGTATCAAATGTGCTCTGTGGGCACCAGGTTCCCTGCACTGGGGGTGATTAAGTTGCCACTTTACCGTATTTCTCACAGCATTGAGCATATTTAATTTTTTGCCTTTAGCTTTATTATTTTGGTGTTTATATAAATAAATTTTTTTTTTTACCTTTTGTTTGTTTGTTGTTGTTTTTTTGGGCAAACATAAAAAAAACTTGGATTGAGGGCATTTATAAAAAAATAAGCATGGGCATTTTTCAGTCATAAGGACTAGTTAGTTTAAAAATAATAATTTTTTGCTCATTTAAAGATCCTAGACTGGTAATGATAAACAAGACTCCTGTGGTCTAGGCAAGCATGGCTCTGTCTCAGTTGCGCTAGTAAATGGGCCATGCCCCTCTTAGAGAGTATAAGGTACTCCCATGGGGAGATTGATTTCTCGTTTGACTGAGCTGGGAATGGTCCAGCCCAGAGTTGAGAGCCTGTTTTGCTTTGCCTTATCTCTTCTGCAGGATTTTGAGAAGTCATCCAGCATGTCCAGCCGTATGAAGGGAGCTGGTGGAATTGGAGGGCAGGATGGTGACAGAGAGAAGCCCCTCTCCAGCAGGCCTTATCCCCCCGGACTGCAGCCCGGTGGTGAGCTCTGCATCTGTTTTCTTTCTGCTCTCTCCTTACCACACATCAATTATGGATGGGTACCCTAGGGTCAATTGGTACCTGAAAGCAATCAATTGCCGGATAAACATTCAGACTTGCAAATTATTGTAAACCGCACATTTGCAAATGCTTTGCATGATAAATGATCAATGTACCATTTAGACTGATTTAATGCTTTGGTGATTTTAACTGACTGTGGCTTTTGGTGATTGGTGTTTCATGGGTCATTCTACAAAATGGGTGCCATTTGTGTTCCTTAAATATGTATGTGTAAAAAAAAAAAACCCTCTATAAATAGCTGATGGCAACTTTTGCTACATGTCAATTTTTCTAATCAAATAAAAAAAAAATTCAGAAGCTTTATTCTTATGCTAAATATATATAAAAATTAAACATTAATACAAAATTAGATGTAATTATATTTCATTTCTAAAATTATATTAAGATTAAAAGTTATTTAGTTAGCTTAAGGTTTGTTTTGTTTGACTAATTCAACTGTAATATTGTCAATAGTGTTACTTTTCTGAAGACATAATTATGTCATATGTTTCCCATTTTTGTTACTTGAATCAAATGAATGTTAACTGAAATAAAATATAAAAACATATTTCATTTCAGCAACATTTGTCATTGTTGCTTATTTTAATTTGAAGTACTAAAAAAACTAAAACTTAAAATAAATAAAAATGACTAAAAATGATATAGGCATATGAAAAAACAAAAACGTATAAAAATGAAATGACAAAAAAGCACAACAAAATGACTAAAATAGGAAATATAAATAATAAAATCTAATTCAAAATATTAACAATATTTATAATAGTATCATGCAGTGTCAGTGATATTTAACTATGTATATTGTTGAGAGTCTGTTTTGTGTGATTGTGTGTATACTGTATATATAAATGTGTGCAACTTAATTTAATTAGACCTGTTAAAACACCTTTTGAAATAGTAAAATAAAATACAGAGTATTTTTAGCACATCCATCCTGTTAATGAACAATGTTGCAAGGTGTTCAGTTCACTTTCAGCAATATTGTTCATATTTATTTTATATAGGGGTTGGCACAGCTAATTGGGCTTTGTCTGACCTCAAAACTTTATAGCCAAGCCAATCCTTGCATTAAATCATTTGATTAAGACATGTTAAAGGGGTAATTGCTCACTGATCCTTAGCCATATTTACTATCCTCAGCGGTGCCAGTTCTACCTGTTATGGGAGGAACAATGATGCCACCTATACCTATGCCAGCTATGTCTTCTGTGCCTCATGCACACGCCCCTACCGCCGTACCTTCAGTACCCCCTATGCCAGCTTTGCCTGCTATGCCACCTTTGCCAGCTGTGCCTAATGTGCCACCAATGCCTGATATGTCAGGTATGAATGCTGCATAAATGACGCTTTCTGCTGATTTATTCTCTGGGATCATTTGTGGAAGACAGCGCTGTTTATTTCTGTGTTCTAATCACAGCTATTAGAGTACATCTGCTTTATCTCTAAAGGTGTAGATCCAGCTGTCTTAGCACAGCAGCAGCAAGCCATCATCAACCAGCAAGCGATTATACTGGTGAGCACATACAGCATGACTTAAACTTGTAGTTAGCTACAGCTAAATGCGTTTGACTACTGAGCTAATGTGATGTACCACAGGCTCAGCAGATGACAATGCAAGCCATGGCCCTCCAGCAGCAGATGTATAATTCAGTGCCAGCTCCCCGCTCCAGCCAGTACAGCCCCGTGAGTACCTCTGAGCACTGATTACAATATTAATAAATTACTAGATATTAAGAGTACACCAAGGCTGGATTTATAAAATAAAAAATACTGTAAAGCAGTAATATTGTGAACTAATATTACAATTTAAAATAACTATTTTCCATTTGATTATAGTTTAAAATGTGATTTATTCCTGTGATGTCAAAGCTGTATTTTCAGCATCATTAATTCAGTCTTCAGTGCCACATGATCCCTCAGAAATCATTATAATATGCTGATTTGCTGCTCAAGAAACTTTTCTTATTATTAACAATGTTGAAATCAGCTTAATATTTTTGCATAAACCATGATATATTTATTTTCAGGATTCTGAATAGAAAGTTAAAAAGAACAGCATTTATTTGAAATAAAATCTTTCATAATATTATGAACTTTTGGTCAGGTAATGCATTCTTGCTAAATAAAAGTATGAATTTCTTCTATCTGTTGTCATCATTTTTAATCATTACATGTCTTTTATTTGAAGATTAAACAAGAAACTGGACCTGTTTCCTACAAACCAACCCGTGCTTCTCCACCACAGAAATCTTCACAGCGACAGTACAGTATGTCATTACATCAATCTATACACCTTCTTGCTTAATTTTACTCATTAAAACGACTATTTCATTAGTATGTTGATATGTTTCCAAAGGCCCAACTAGAAGGGATCCACCAGCGGGAGATGTGGTGCGAGCCACTGTCTCAAACTCTGAACATTTAGAGCCAAGTCACAACATCAAAGACATTATCAAGCAGTACCAGGCAAACCCTGTAAAACCAACAGAGATTGCAAGGTGAGAAATGAACATTTTTAGATCCAAAGGCCAGTTCCACATCTTTAATAATGAATGACCTGAACGGAAAACTGATACACAGCTAACCAATGTTCTCATTGACCTTGCAACAAAACATTGATAAAATATTAATCAAAAGAGATCTTTAAATTAGAACATAACAAAGGCCAAAGCTCTAAATGTGCTGGACTTCAATGCAGGCGGGAAGCTAAAGTGTTTTTGAAGAAACCAGACCCCCATGATGAAGCTATTATGATTCTTAAGGACCAGATGAGTGCTCCACCTCCACAGGTAGATCACTTATAGATTGTTTACCGATAAACTGACAGTGTTAAAGTCATATGAGTTACAATTATGTAAAGTATTACCAGTATGCTTTAGTGTTACCATTGCGGGTAATGCTTAGTATGTTGGTATCCCACACAACCAGCGAAAGAAAACCTACACCCCAGTCTCTCCCTCATCATCTGCAAAGAAGTATGATTATGATGGTGGGGCACTGAAACCAACAAAAAGCATCAAGATGCAGCGATCACCTCCTGTGCCAGCTGTTAGTCAGAGATTCCCGGCACCTGCACCTGGTAAACTCAGTTCATCTACAGTATGTCATTTAATTTCCGTTCGATGTAGAGGCCATATTAGCATGGCTATTGTGTTGCATTACAGTATCTAGAGAACTTCCAGTAGAAGAGGAGAATATTCAGACTCAGCTGCACAAGAGGAGCAGTGAAGAGCACTACACCTACACTAATGTACCATGGAAGATCTACTTGAGAAAAGAGGCCAGTGTCATTTGTGTTGTGATGGGTCAATGGACACAGTGCCTTTGCTCTAAATTATACAGAAATGATTATGAAACATAACATTTGTGTCATCTGTTTTTAGGTTTTTTATCCAAAAGACAGCTTCAACCACCCGCTGATGTTAGACCTGTTGTTCAAGCAGGTTTGATATATATATTTTTTTCAGTTCACTTTGGTATTAGGGCTGTCAATCAATAATGTTAATCTTGTCATTTTATAGTTAACTAACAATAAAACATTCAGTTCCTAAAAATTAAATAATAGGTCAATGTGTAACTTTGTTTTGATGGATGAAGTGTGCATGAAACGTGAGGCATAAATTTATGCAACAGTGCTCTTTACTTGTCTCACAACAATCAATAATACGTCAATAATTCAATAATAAATTATAAAATAACATTCCATAATAAAGTAACAAAACCCACTTTATGGACATAATCTGTATAAAGAGATTTAACGTTGATATTTAACAGCCATAATTTAAGCGCGCTGCTATAAAAAATATTGGGATCAGTAAGTTTTGTTTATGTTTTTGAAAGAAGTCTCTTATGCTCAGCAAGTCTTCATTGCTCAAAAATACACTAAAACAGTAATTTGTGAAATATTATTGCAATTTTAAATAACTGTTTTCTACTTTAATATATTTTAAAATGTAATTTATTCCTGTGATGGTAAAGCTGAATTTTCAGCATCAGTGTCACGTGATCCTTCAGAAATCTTTTGATATGTTGATTTGCTGCTTAAGAAACATTTCTGATTATTATCAATGTTGAAAACAGTTGTGCTGCTTAATATTTTTGTGGCAACATTTTTAAGGATTTTTTTGGATTAAAAGTAAAAAAAACAGCATTTATTTGAACTTTGACTTTACTGTCGATCAGTTTACTTGTTGAATAAAAGTATTAATTTCTTTCAGATTTATTTGACTGTAGTGTATGTAAAGCTATTTGTGTTGCTTTTACTTTTATTGACCATAATTACAATTAAACTTTGATCTTAGATTGTCCATGACACGTTCTCAGAGGCTTGCATTCGCATTACAACAGAAGAAAGGCAGAAGATGAAATGCCTTTTTGGTATGATTTATGTTAATTATCTTACATACACATTTGTCTCATGTAATATGTGAGCACTTCTTATTGAGAGGAACATTTTGTCTTCTGTATTGTGACAGTGGAGCACAACATTGACATGAATGCCACAATCCAGGATGAGAATGTGAAGAAGAAGATTGTGGTTGCTGCAAGAGACACCTGGGAGATCTACTTCTCACGCCTCTTCCCAGCATCCGTAAGGAATCGCTCTCAGATAATCCTCGCTGAAAAAACCTGTGTAGACCAGCATGAATTTCAGTCCTGGTCCAAGCTGGTTTATGTTGGTCAGAGTTGGTTTAGTGCAGGGGTAGGCAAGTTCGGTTCTAGAGAGCCGCAGTCCTGCAGAGTTCAGCTCCAACCCTAATCAAACACACCTGAACAAGCTAATCAATGTCTTCAGGATTACTAAGGCTATAGGTAGGTGAGGTTTTTTTCAGGGTTGGAGCTGAACTCTGCAGGACTGCGGCTCTCTAGGACCGAACTTGCCTACCCCTGGTTAGTGGGTGGCCCAGCATAGCACACTGTTCACAAAATGTAAATAGTGAAATTACTAGTGAACATGTCTTGCATGTCAGCATCCAAAAACACATCATACTGTATTCTGATGTTTTAAGCAGGCATTTGCTGCATCATAATGCTATTTAAAACAAACCCAAGTCAAAATCTTCCTGAACAGGGCAGTGTTGGCACAGGAGTCCAGGTGCTGTCTGTATCTCATAGAGGGATCAAGCTTTTGAAAATGGTCAGGAGCAGTGCGGTAGCTCCAGACTACTTCAGAGTTCTGCGACCCTACAGGTACCATTTTACCCTCGTTTCTAATTAAATTGTATTTTAATGACTTCAGTTAATGATCACGCCATGAATATTTTGAGTTGTGGATGTATTGTGATCATTGTTAACGTCTTACAGCTACACAGACATCATGTTCGTCACCATTCCTTCCAAAAACATGCTGGAGTTCAACCTCACCAATGAGAAACTGATTCTGTTCTCTGCCAAAGCTCCTCAGGTCAAAACCATGATTGACTACTTTATCACAGAGCTGAAAAAGGTCCGTTCTCACACACATTGGTTTGCTTCGGCGTAAGGAATCGCTCTCAGATAATCCTCGCTGAAAAAACCTGTGTAGACCAGCATGAATTTCAGTCCTGGTCCAAGCTGGTTTATGTTGGTCAGAGTTGGTTTAGTGCAGGGGTAGGCAAGTTCGGTTCTAGAGAGCCGCAGTCCTGCAGAGGTCAGCTCCAACCCTGAAAACAAAACTCACCTGCCTGTAGCCTTAGTAATCCTGAAGACATTAATTAGCTTGTTCAGGTGTGTTTGATTAGGGTTGGAGCTGAACTCTGCAGGACTGCGGCTATCTACCTCACCAGTGAGAAACTGATTCTGTTCTCTGCCAAAGCTCCTCAGGTCAAAACCATGATTGACTACTTTATCACAGAGCTGAAAAAGGTCCGTTCTCACACACATTGGTTTGCTTCGGAGATGATGTGGTGCTGTGCGTTAATTGTGCTCTCTCTCTCGCTCTAGGACTCAGACTATGTCGTTGCTGTGCGTAATTACATTACAGATGACAGAACGCTGCTGAGTTTCCACAAGGGAGACATCATACGCTTGCAGAAAATGGAAGGCCTAGATGCAGGTGAGACTGCTTTAAACCAGTCGTGAAGACCTGACATTACTCTTCACATTTGGGGGGAAAAGAGACTAAATGATTAGGACAGCAGCTCTGAAATATAACAATTGAAGACACACATGGGTCAATAATGTAATCTATTCATTATGTGTCCTTGCTGAATAAAAATATTAATTTCTTTACAAAAAAAAAAAGGACCCCAAACTTTTGATCTGTAGTTTATTGATATAGACAAATAGTATACTGGGGATTCAAAATATGTTGTAAAAGGTACAATAACTTGTTCATCTAAGCTCTGTGGCTGTTTCACAGGCCAGTGTTATGGTTGCATAGTGAAAAAGAAGGTGATTCTCCTGGAGGAATTAAAAAGAGACACACCTGATTTTGGTGGGTCGTGTGTGGACACTTGAATGGAGTGCTGTTTTGTGGTTTCTTCATGTGCTGTTTTTCTGTGCTGCACTTAGCAGTGTCATTGCAGTTGAATTGCTGGTGTGCAGACATATCTGAAATTCTGTATCCCTAGTTGCATGTATAGAACCTGTCTTCCTTCCCCATGCATGATGGTTTCACTGCTGCTTTTTATACAGGCTCTTCAGTCTACTCTTAAAATGCCATGCTACTGTCACACACACTTTCACACACCATTTCTTGTATGGTACTAAGGCTGGAAGTTTGGGGCCATTCATGGGCGATCTGGGGTTTTTCCTGTGGAGTTTGTTCAGCCAGTGGCTGCTCCTGACTTCATTAACATTCCTGTGGACAAGAAAGAGGAACCCAAGAATAAGCAGGGTCGCGTGGCCGCCTCAGCAGCTGTGGCAGTGGCTGTAGGGTCTGCCGCCGCAGCCCATGAACTCGACCGGTCTATTGAGGTATATGTGTTTAACAGGCACATAGTCTGAAATTCTGATTTACGTGTACCGTAGTCCCTTCTGAGTGCCGTTGTGTTGCTGCATCTCACCTCTAGGTGGCGTCTCCTGTCAGTGAGTATGCAGAGGCTTACGCAGACAGCGCTGACATGGACATCGATGAGAGAATCTTGCAAGACAGCCAATACAACATGGTGGAATTTGCAAAGAGATATTTCAGAGGGGCCCAGAGAAAAAATGGGTCAGTTGATTACATCATAAGGGAAACTGCGAGTTCATGTTCGCACAGTTACATAGTTGAATTAAAAGAAAATGTGTAATTGAAACATTGATATTGCTTATATTTTGCAGTGATTCATATAAGAAAAAGTCAAAGAAAACAAAGGAATCCAGGGAACCATCAGAAATGGTGAAATTTTCCAAGGTATAGAATGCGACCATACCATCACTTTTAAATATGTAAAAAAAATAGTTGATTTGAAATCAATATTCTGCCATTCTTTACTCAATATTCTATTATAAGGAATGGAGCTGGGGGTTTTAAGCTTTAAAAAAGACACAAAACAACCATAAAAGTGGTCCATACATCTTGTGCACTATATTGCAAGTCTACTGAAGTCATATGACAGCTTTGTGTGAGAAACAAATTGAATTTTAGGTTGTTATTCACAAAATTGAATAATTCAGTGGCAAAGAACCATCTCAAAGAATGAGATTTAGGGTGAATATAATGTTTTTTTCTTTCAGTGAATAATGACTTAAATATTGAACTGATGTCTTATATATCTTTTATATTATTATTTTATAATATTTTAACACCTTTTATATTATTATTATTATTATTACTACTATTGAAAAAAGATTTGTTTGGAATTACATGAGGGTGAGTAAATTATGACAAAATTTTCATTTTTTTTATGAACTATTCCTGTAAGTTTAAAGAAAATCAAGCAAGACCTCTCAAAATTTTCCATATTTCTGATGCATATTCTGATTGATTTTTGTTTTGGTTATGTAGTCTCCAATTCAAGAGTCCCTAATCGAGTTCACCGATGAAAACATGAACAAAGTAGCAGCAGAGATTTTTCTTGGTAAGCAGAATGTTCAATGTGAACTAATTAAGAGGCAGATATTTTTTACTGTCATCTATAAAAATGTTGTGTTTACTATGTAATACAACTTCAAAAATTCTTATCTTGCAGCTATAATGAAGTTTATGGGAGACTACCCTATGAAAAGCCAGATGGAGCAGGAGGTTGTGAGCACCTTCCTAAGGGTACGCAGCTCTTCAAATAGCGCAACAAGAATTCCCATCATGAATTATTAAGATAACCAGACAGGAATGTGCTAAATGTCTTTAATGCCACTGCAATATGCAATATGAATAATCTCTTTTGCAGCTGAGTGGCGAGTATGGACTACTGAGAGATGAAGCGTACTGCCAAGTCCTCAAGCAGATCACAGTGAACACCAGCTCCAAGACGTATGAGTCTGCTTTCTTCTGAATGATGAAACCATGGAGGGTTAATTTTAATGTGCCAGACAGAGTCATAGATGATCTTTTCTGTATGTCTCAGGGAGAGTTGTCAGAGAGGCTGGAGGCTGCTGTACATCCTCACTGCATACTACAAGTGTTCAGAGGCGCTCAAACCTTACCTGCTGAGGTACCTCCTAGACGTCTGTGCAAGTCCAGGGGTGCACTTTCAAGGTATACTGCTGCTTTAGCAACATGTTACAGCTACACAGATAAGATACTGACTGATGATTACACGAACATGATATATTGACAGGCATTTCCAAGGCTTGTGAGCAGAACCTAAGGAAGACGTTCCAGTATGGTGGACGTGTTGAACATCCTGATGGGATGGAACTGAAAGCTATGCTGGTTAGTTGCACATAAACAAATTTTCATGCTAATTTTAGTGACATTTTCAGCGATTTCTGCTTAAACATGCACAATCCAACATTTTCAAGGCTGGAAGGAGCTCCAAACGCCAGTTGTTTCTTCTTCCTGGTGGAATTGAACGCCATCTAAAGATCAAAACCTGCTCAGTATGTTGACTCTGTGATATTTAATGCAACTTGATCAACCATGTAATTCATTTAATTGGAACAATGTGGTTCTAATTTTTTTTTTGGTACTTTGAAGGTGGCTTTGGATGCCATCGAAGAGCTGTGCTATGAGATGGGTCTGCATAAACTTGAAGCCTTGGATGAATATGCTATATTTGTGGTCACAAACAGAGGTGAGATGACAAAAAGGAAAACACATAATCAAAATCTAATATCAGATTTGTAGTAGCTGATATGGTAGTTCATTTATCTTAGGAAATGAAAGGGTCATTTTAACTTAAGGAATAGTTCACCTAAAGATGAAAATTTACTCACCCTCAGGTCGTCCAAGATGTAGATTAATTTCTGAGAAATTTAGCATTACATCACTTGCTCACCAATGGATGCACTGTAGTGAATGGGTGCCGTCAGAATGAGAGTCCAAACAGCTGATAAAAACACCACAATAATCCACAAGCAATTCACGTGACTCCATCAATGAATGTCTTGTGAAATTAAAAGTTTTTATCAACTGTTTGGACTCTCATTCTGACGGCACCCATTCACTACAGTGCATCCGTTGGTGAGCAAGTGATACAATGTTACATTTCTCAAAATCTGTTCTGACAAAGAAACAAACTCAGCTACATGTTGAATGCCCTGGGGGTGAGTACATTTTCAGCAAATTGTCATTTTTGGGTGAACTCTTCCTCTTAAGATGATAAAAGTGTTACAAAGATTGAAAGCTGTATTCTCATGTGTTGTCAATTTTTCTCCAGGTCAGAATGTCTGCCCTCTAAACAAAAGGGAGTACATCTTGGATGTTGCTACAGAAGCTGAACATGTTGATAGCAACTACAGTCTGTGGTTTCGAAGAGTGATCTGGACGCAGCCACTGAAGTTTGACAATGAGCTTGGAGTCACTATGCATTACAATCAGGTACATCAGCCAGACTGATTCAATTTCCCAGACGTTCCTTTCATGCTTTGTGCTGCTTATTGCGCAAGTTACAAAGATCTGAGGCATTTGTTCTCGATTTGATCGAAGTTTTCTCTGTTCGGGCTACTAATCTGATCTTCATTCACATTTTACAGGTGTCCCCTGACTACTTGAAAGGGCTGCTCAATGTTGTCCCACAGGGTAAAGCCAGTGAGCAGCAGCTACAGCAAGTGTCAAAACTGGCAGCTCTGCAACATCGTGTCAAGGACTCGATCTACCTGCCCACCTTGTAATGCAATTAATCTGACTGACATCATATCCTGAATTTATCAACCAGAGAAAGAACTGACTTATGTATCAATGAAAAGCTTTAAAACGGGTCACATTTACCCCACTGAACCAAATTACTATTGCACTTCATATGTGTGAATAGATTACTAAAATTGTAACCCTTATACACATTGAAATTATTATAATATACCTTTCAAAAGTTTGGGGTCTGTAAGATTATTTTATTCATCAAGGATGCATTAAATGGATCAAAAGTGAAAGTAAAGACATTTTATAATGTTACAAAAGATTTTTGTTTCAAATAAATACTGGCCTTTTTATTTTTCTGTTTATCATATAAAAAAGTGGTATCCTCAAAAATGTTAATATTAAACAGGACAACAGTTTTCAACATTGATAATAATGAGAAATGTTTCTTATGCACCAAATCAGCATATCAGAATGATTTCTGAAGCATCATGTGACACTGAAGACTGGAGTAGTGATGCTGAAAATTCAGCTTTACCATCACAGGAATAAATTGCATTTTAACATATATTATTTAAAACAAAAGGCAGTCATTTTACATTGTGAAAATATTCTACAATATTATATTATTAATGTATTTTTGATCAAATAAATGCAGCATTGGTGGGTATAAGAGACTTCTTTCAAAAACCCAAAACTTTGAACTGTAGTTTGAGATATACATCAAGCTTGGTTGCCATCATTCTGGTCTCTTAATGAGACCGCTAATACAATCCCAGGGATCATTACTAGGTATGAGGGAGAAATTAGTCACTTTGGATAGATCTGTCCACATGTTAATTACTGTGCCAGTAATTGTAGATAGGTCAAATTCACAGTTATAAAAACACAGTGTTGTGCTTGTAATTGTTCAGTTGGCCCCTGATGGAGAACAGCACCTGGCTGATGTCCCTCAGCTAATATAAGTTACCTCTTCTATAGACTAACGTTTTCTTGTTCTCTGCCATCAGCCATGAGGTTCAGGAGTATATCCCCACCCAGCTCTTCGGTCTCCAGCGGCACCAGCAATGGTTAAACATGGTGACCCAGCACACGCAGCAGGTGCAGCCCCTCACTCCTCATCAGGCCAAAGCACAATTTCTGGGTGAGGTGTTGACTTGGGAGAACAGCCAGTGTGAAGGCGCACTGCCTTTTATTCCAAACACTGATTGTTGTGCTTGTGTCTCTGTTTCAGGGCTTGTGAGTGCTTTTGTCATGTTTGGCTCATCATTCTTCTACATACAGAGTAGCAGTAATAGTGCTATCGACACCCCATGCATACTGGCTGTCAATCAAAATGGTCTGAACTTTCTAAGAAAAGATACTCATGTAAGTTTAACCCCTTTATTTCCAATGCTTACTAAAAGCCTACAGTATGTAAAAATAACCTCAGGACTTTTTGGCCATGGTTTTTAGGCTGTATTTCTAAAACTACAGCATATTTTTAAATAAGACCTGACCTAAAAATTAAAATTCTGTCACAATTTAGAAAGCCATATGTTTGAAATGACTTGAGGGTGAGTAAATAAGTCTCTTCTGCTCATCAAGGCTGCATTTATTTGATAACAAATACAGCAAGAACAGTAATATTGTGAAATGTTAAATGCAGCCATTACTCCAGTCTTCAATGTCACATGATCCTTCAGATGTCATTTTAATATGCTGATTTGCTGCCTAAGAAACATTTCTTATTATTATCTACATTATTATTATATGTTTGTGCGAGGTACAGACTTGAATGACGAGGTTAGAAATTTTTTTGTTGTTTAATTTATACAAACAAAAGTATGCAATGATTCAGTGATTAAATATGTCATCTGCTTTGACACTGCTAAAGTGTCCATTTTACTGTATATTTTTCTGCATTTCCTCCCATGATATGTTATAACGGTCTCATATAGACGTCACAGCTGTTTTCAATGTTCTTCAGGAGCCGATGGTGAAGTTTCCGCTGAAGGAGGTCCAGTCCACCCGTACACAGAGGCCCGCAGCTGGCTCCAGTTACCCGTATGTGGAGATAATGCTGGGTGACCTAATGTCTCAACGCATTACACAGTTACAGCTGGACCAGGTATGGACTTTGGAATATATGATTGCAAATCATCATGTAATCTAATTGTGCAATATCTGCTCATTTTAACGCCCTTTTAAGGTGTGTTGTTAATCTGAGTTGGTCATTTTCACTGGGCCTGTGTGGGCGGAGCTTATTCCTGTGCGTTTGACTTTACAGAGTCTTGAGCTGTGCCGTGTTATCGCCATGCATATGGAGAACCTGCTGTCAGTACGAGAGAAGAGACTTACTCTGCCGCCCAGTGAAATCACTCTGCTCTAGCACCCCTTCTCACAGATGATATTTATTATTACTTTTATGGCAATAATTGCAATCAGACACTATTAAACTCCTACACGTCGAAAGTCAGCTGTCATTATTGATAGTGCAATATGCCTGTTTGCAATTTCAAACCCAAGTTCCAGGATTAGCTTGTTATGCACAATAATTTGCATGCATTCCTTTAGGTTGAACATATGGGCCTATAATTTAAAATGGTATAGTACTACCTCTAGTTCTGGACACGTGATCAGCAATACTTTATTTTTGTATGAGAGAGAGGGAAACACTTTTTTAGCCACTAGTTTTGAAGTTCCTCTCTTAAATACTGATTTGCACTACTTGAGACTATTGTATGTTTTAAATATTTATATATTGTTTGCATTTATGTGTCATGTGGATGTGAATGGGAAATGAACTATATGCACAATGAATGTAGGTTTAATATGAAGTCTTTATTCTAAATAAAAAAAAGAAAATCACAATTGACCTGTGTTTTCCCCAAATGTGTATTACTTATTTACAGTAGATGCACAATTTGAGGAATCATACATTGAATAATATATTTTAAAAAGCAGCATTATTATTATTATTATTAAATAAAGCAAAAACTATTAAAAACATTTTTGTTAATTGAAATAAAGCTTAAATAAATTACAATTTATTATGCAATAAAATACAATAAATAATAAAATAAAAATATATAAATATTACATGTAAAACTAAAACATTTCAAATGTCGCCTGGAATACGTTTAGGCTGAAACACTAAAATTACTAGCTGGTAATTAATAAAAGCAACATAAAAATATTCAAAAGTGAAATAAAACTAAAACTCATAAAAAAAAGAATTTAAACAAAGAGTAAGATTTTAAATAAATAATAATAAATGACAAAACACATATCATTAAAAATTAAACTAAAATTAAAAGAAAATGTAAAAATAAAAGTTAATTAAAAATTGTAATAAAAACTTTAATTGTATGTAAATAATACTAAAAGAACATGATTTGATTGGCTGCTTTCTCCATGCTATGAAATTGAATTGCTGCCAGGCAATGATCAAACATGTGAGTAAGTAAAGCTAATCCAGCGGATTCCTGATCCGTGTTTTCCACACGCACGCTGGCGGTGGGCGTGGTTTGGTGTATTGGTCACAGATTCTTGCATTCTGATTGGCTCTCCCAAGACGTGGTTCCTGTGAACTTGCCCTGTGGTCAAACTGCAGAAACACAGAGCTAAAAACTTGCACGGCTTGAGGAGTGGATACAAAAGAAACTGGAGCTTGCATGAAGGATCACATTGTTTCTCTGCACCGATTAACGCCTAACGGAATTTATATCAATCTGAGACGGCGCGGGCTGTAATATTTCTCTGATTCGGCTTCAGGATGATGAAGTTTAGGTTCAGACGGCAGGGAAACGACCCTCATCGTGAGAAAATCAAACAGGATCTGTTTGCATTCAATAAGGTATGTGGGATATATAGCGTTGGGTCTCCTCTCTCTCTCTCTCTCTCTCTCTCTCTCTCTCTCTCTCTCTCTCTCTCTCTCTCTCTCTCTCTCTTTTATAATTTATTGTTATTTTAGTATTTTTACTAAAAGCGCCATTTATTTAGCTCAGTGAGTGTTTTGTTTAGTTGAAAATAAATAATGTTTGTTTATTTATGTTTGTTATTGAGTCTTGAATGTATCCTGCAGTGGTGCTGGCAGTTGCAGGGTGATTGTGAGGATTTTTAGAGCTCTTAAATAATAATGAACATGTTACTGCTCTCCTGCCAAATTCATAGAAAGTGTTTGATTGTAGGCTCTTTACTGATGACCAAACTGGCACCATTACAGCACAATCAAACATTTCTTCCCTCCTCCTCAGTGTAAAGCAAAACAGGAGGAAATGAGCGATCTCATATTATGCATGTTTTTAGAGTAGCCTATTAAAGTCCCCACTTTTGTTCATTTCTCAAATGCTGCTGATGACATTTATCCACAGATGGTTTAGGAAAACCAGAGCGGCGGTGTCATGCTGATGAAGCGTCATGACACTGTGTGTAATGTTACAGGAAGGCCCTGTTATTTATCAGGTCACATTTTGTCAACCTGTGAAAAGAGATCTGCATCATTCGGCCAACTTCAAGCCTGGTTTTGCTTAAATTTGTCTGTTAATTTAAGGGGACATTTTTAAAATTACCCAAAAACCTGTTTCTGCAAATCACCTCTCTCTCTCTCTCTCGAGCATGCATGCATGAGGTTTCGGGCTTCCTTGAAATAGACTGAAAGAACATTTAATTCAAGCAAATGTATTCACACATGACTTATTGTGAACGTGTTCTATTTCATTTACTTTCTCTGTATTAACATGCATTTGCTAGTATGGCAATGGTTTACAACTATCATGGCCAGATATGACAATATAAGCGCATGAAAGTTGTTTGAATTAGTAGCTTTTCTTTTTGTTAGTGCACAGTTGGACTTTTATGGCTTCAAGAGAATGAGAAATATGTTGTGTTTGCGTGTAATATTCATCTTCATCAACGGAGCTCATTAAATCAGATCGAGCGTGTTGTCTCTTGTGAGTGACCTCAAAGTTTTCTCATGTTTCATGTTTATACCGGTACGAACGACTGATAATCGACTGACTAATATAGGGTTAGGGTAGTTAGGGTTAGTGGTTAGTTGTGCTACATATCTAGTTTATAGGAGTATAATGGTACACAAACATGACGGTTTGGTACGTACCTCAGTTTGTTTTTTATTAAACAGTGGTTTACTAAACAAATTGCTCTTTCTTTAAATAAATTCAGTTATAATTAACATTTTCTTAGAGATAAAAACCTACCTCAGCTTATGCTCTAAAAGGGAGCCCTTTTACAAAAGATTAGAGTTAACAACAGAGCCCAAACTTAAATTCAATTACTATTTATTTTTAAATATAATAATGAGCACTCAACTTAAAAAAATGCAAAATGCAAACCTGTAAATTGCACATAATGCAGTTTTTAAATTAACTTCTAAATTATAACATTTCTCTTTGTTGTTGAAATATATTCATTTACACAGTGGCTGTCATAACTTGTTTTATAACAGATTTATTTAAACATACATTAAATAATTAAGATATAACTAACAGGTAAAGTAAAATATAATGAGTATAATATTTCTGGAAATGCTCTTCTCTAAACTTAATTTCTCTAGCGAACTAACAGCTGTGGACACTGATGACATGCCTGAGGTAAAAAAAAATGCTACTCACATTTTGTTTACAAGCTGTATTATTGATGTCTTTCCGCGGTTGAAACACTGATTGAGCGAACACACTACATGAGACATGAGATGTTCATTCATGTTTATTTTGCGTTAAAACTAGTAGTAAAGAGGAAATGCTGCCGTTTGAACTTAGGCGTTTATACAGCGATCTGTCACACCACATCAAAGAGCGTCAAAATGGCATTTTTTGTTTGAATTTCCTGAAGAAAAAAAAAAGACAAGTTTAGACTTTGTTTCTTATCAAAATGAACAATATATAAAAAAAGGTATAAGAAGTTTCCAATGAAGTTCCATTCGTGCAGTGGTTAAAACAACACATGCATACCGAACCTAAAGACGCCTACCGAAAGTTTTTGGTACGAATAGGTGTACCGTTACACCCCTAACTAGTTTACAGTGTTGAGTTATACATGTAACAAGGTCATTATTTAATTTTGGCTTATTATTTTTTGGCTTGTTGTCTGTCTTTTGCAGGAGGTGGAGGAATTTGTCAAGGGCTCCGGAGAGCATGGTATTGTGGTGTTCAGTCTGGGTTCTCTGGTCTCCTCCATGCCAAAAGAGAAAGCTGCCATCTTCTTCAAGGCTTTCAGTATGATTCCACAGAGGGTAAGAAATAATTTTTTTTTTCCTTTTATTTTTATTTAGTTTAATATACAAGATTAACAATGCACATAAAAAATTAATATTGACAAAAAATAAGGAGAGACATTAAACATATACATATCAGATTTATGTTACACAGCATATACAGCTATAGTCCTATACATTATATATATATATATATATATATGCATACATATGTAGTTTATAATTTATTGTTATTTTAGTATTTTTACTAAAAGCGCCATTTATTTAGCTCAGTGAGTGTTTTGTTTAGTTGAAAATAAATAATGTTTGTTTATTTATGTTTGTTATTGAGTCTTGAATGTATCCTGCAGTGGTGCTGGCAGTTGCAGGGTGATTGTGAGGATTTTTAGAGCTCTTAAATAATAATGAACATGTTACTGCTCTCCTGCCAAATTCATAGAAAGTGTTTGATTGTAGGCTCTTTACTGATGACCAAACTGGCACCATTACAGCACAATCAAACATTTCTTCCCTCCTCCTCAGTGTAAAGCAAAACAGGAGGAAATGAGCGATCTCATATTATGCATGTTTTTAGAGTAGCCTATTAAAGTCCCCACTTTTGTTCATTTCTCAAATGCTGCTGATGACATTTATCCACAGATGGTTTAGGAAAACCAGAGCGGCGGTGTCATGCTGATGAAGCGTCATGACACTGTGTGTAATGTTACAGGAAGGCCCTGTTATTTATCAGGTCACATTTTGTCAACCTGTGAAAAGAGATCTGCATCATTCGGCCAACTTCAAGCCTGGTTTTGCTTAAATTTGTCTGTTAATTTAAGGGGACATTTTTAAAATTACCCAAAAACCTGTTTCTGCAAATCACTTTTGATAGCTTGTGAAGATGAATTTGACATTGTCTGTCAAATCTACTAGAGTTCCTTCCTTGCTATTTTTGGTTCTGCGTTATTGGTTTTTGTTGTTGTTGTAAAAACAAGGAAATCCCCTTCCTGACAAGACTGCACTGAATAGATCTACTGCATTGTTAATTGTAGCATCAGGGCTCATTAGAGGTCAATGAAGTATGAATTTTTTATTTTTTTTTAAGCTCAGCAGAAAAAGCGGGATTTCAAAAGTCTATATGATGTACATGACATGCGAGTTTAAGTTCTGAATGTGTGATTTCCTCTTCTCTTCTTCTACTCAGACTGTTGAACATGGATTCCCAAACCAGCCAAGTGCTTTGGCCTATGATCCCAAACTGCAGCTTATGGCCATTGGAACTAAATCAGGGGCCATCAAAATGTATCCTTTTGTGAGTGCTTTCCTCAAATACAGTGGATGTAGTTTAATTGTTTTGTTAATATACACTACTGTTTAAATGTTTGGGGTCAGTAAAAGTCACAGTAA